TTTTTAAATGATGCTCTGTTATGTTTTTATTTCAAAATTTCTGTTAATTTATTGCCTGTGCTCTAATAATGACTAAAAATTTAATCATTAAATGTACGAGGGCTATCCAGAAAGTAGATTACGTTTTGGAATAAAAAAATAAACAAAGTATAGGAAACAAATTTTATTATATACAGATGAAAGCCACACTCAAATACTACTTTTCTACATAGTCACCATACAAATTAAGGCATTTATCGTAGCGATGTACGAGCTTGGAAATTCCTTCGTCGAAAAATTCGGCCGCCTGCGCCTTCAACCACTTGCACAAAACTTGTGGTAACCAAGCTTTTCGCTGATGATTTCGTGCAACAAACTTCGCGAAATTTGTGGAAAACTCAAAGAAAGTTCCGTTATTGTGAAATTTCGATTTTCACGGACTTTAGCATCGACTTTTTCGAGAAGTTCGGCGGTCACTATGCTGGGTCTTCCACTTCGATCTTCGTCGTGAACATTGGTTCGGCCATTTTGAAATCTTATGACCCACTGACGCACTCCACCTTCAGTGATAATGTTGTCCCCATACACTTCACGAAGCTGCCGATAGATTTCTATCGGTTTACAGTTTTTTGCAGTCAGAAACCTTATTACTGAGCGCACCTCGCAGCTCGCGGGATTTTCAATTAACGCAGACATTTCAAACCGTCACAGTATCTGAACGGAGCACAGCACGAACCTCTCACTAGCACGGTTAGATGCAGACTGAGCTGCGCAACGCTCTGACCCCAAGATGGCCGCGCTAGCCCCACCCCTAGCGGACACAGACGGAAACGTAATCTACTTCCTGGATGGCCCTCGTATATGGAATCACCCTACAGTAAAAGTGTTTATTTACATACCTATGTTCTCAATAAATACTTATTGCATTTCTTCTTTTCCCATACCTTCAAACTAAACCAAAAGCTGGTCAATTTAATGGCAAAAGGAAGCGAAGGTGAATTAAAATCAAAATTGCTTTTACCTTAATTACCAGTGGTTTGGGTTGGTTTATATGATAACGGAATGCCTCCAGGGTTAAATGCCTAAGAGGAGGGCTTCCTAAGGGAAACAGGCTCGTATACACGTTACACATGGGCAAATCTACGAAAACGCCCATGCCAGCCTGTTCACAGGATTCAAACCTCGAACCGAACTACCAGTGTTCAATAACTTTACCGATCGGCCACTGGTGGACCTCTTAATTACCAGCGCCCATTTATGTATTATGCTGCTTTTTATAGACACTGTAATAGCTAGTAATATAATAAAATGTTAAAATCAGAATAAAATTAAGGTCTCTTAAATTATTCAGTTACCTATTTTATATTTAAAATTATACGAAATTTATATAATTATACAAAATTTGGTTTTCATAACTGCAGTGAGCTGTGTTGCATTAACATAATTTTGTATTAATATTTTCATAATAAAACAAAACTTATTTAATTTTCATTAAAGATTAAAAATTATTTTTTAAGCAAATTATACCATGGCTTGTGGGTTCCCAAGAACACAGTAATGGGAAATGAAGCAATCATGCAGTATTTTTATTATCCACAAGAGGGGGGTTTCGCCTCTGCCCTAGGCTCATTGTTTCCCACTTTTCATTTACATAGTGGGAAAGAAAATACTGAACCTCAAAATATCCTCATAACTTGAAATAGCTATCAGATGAAGAAGAAGGATGCCTTCGTGGAGGACTTTTATAGAGGTATAACATCTGAAAAGTCAGCTGAATCACTTTTCCCCCTTGCCTTTGTGGGTTAAAAAAAAATTAACATACTTCTGGAACCTTATCAATTGGTTGTCCAAATCTTTCAGAAGCCATTGAAACCCTTGTTTTTTCTCTAAATAAATAAATAAAATTAAAATAAACTTTTTTTATTCTTAGTTCTATGCCATAAATACACTACACCAACTCAAAGTTGATTTAAAGTTTTGATTTTCATTTGCATTCTCTTTTGACCACTTTTAAGGCAAATAAATACATGCTGTTCTCTTTACAATTAATCGATTCTGGAGTTTTTCTAGGATCCATTTCACAACACTTTCTTCTAAGATAGATAATTTTGTTCATCTTTTTTGCAAAGCACATCTGCTAAACATTTATCCACAATTTCACACTGTTTTCATCCATCCTTTCTTTTAAAAATAACTGAGGATTATGTAACCTCCGCTAAGCAGTGAAGTGAGATTTTTTATTTATTGAACTAGTTGTTTTTTTAACTTGCAGAGTCATTAGGTTATTTTGAAGCAGGAGACATGAAAAATGAGCAATGCCCTTGCTGGGGCTCAAACCTTGAATTCTCGAATACACTCCGAGTGTGCTAACCATTACACCACAAAGGAATGCAGAATGGAGGGAGAAAATTCCATATGTACTCTCTCTTTTAAAGGGCGACTGGAGATTAAGGGACCCAATCGCCAAATCCTGGTAATGAAGAATCATCATCCACAACCTTTTCGTTTGGGTGCCATTGTAAAGTCATTTTGAGTAAGAAGACATGAAAAATGAGCAGTGCCCTCGTTGGGACTCAAACCTGGACCTCTTGTATATGCACCGAGTGTGCTAACTGTTACACAACGAAGACATGCAGAATGGAAAGAGAAAATACCTTATAAACTGTTTTTGTTCATTTTACATTAACTTTTTTATTTTCTTACAATTTTTTTCTGCTTTGTAATCAATAACATATGTCTGGAAGTGCAACAATTTGTTGTTGGAATTTTTCAGAAGCCTTTGTAAAACTGCTCCTTTTTCTCATAGAACTAAATTATTTCATGCTAACTACACCAACTCAAAGTTGCTTTAAAGTTTGCTGGCCATTTTCTCAGACTTCGTTTGCAACATTTCTTTCTAGGATAGACCATTTAGTTCCTTTATTCAAAGCACATTTATACTTAATACTACTAGCATATTAATTATTGTGATTTCATTTTTCTTCCACTCACATATGGAACTTCATCAACAGCAAACATACTTGCTGCAGGACGATTTCTATTTTTGTTTTTGCAAATTGAAACCAGCATCGCTTTTTTTTTTTTTTTTTTTTTTTTTTTTTTTTTTTTTTTTTTTCATTTGGCAGCAGTCATATTTACAACTAAAAGGAATGCTAGATCAACTGCATTTCAGCTAACGCAAATGCGATTTTACTTCCAAAATCAGGGCTTCAAATGACTACAGAAAGAGAAAAAAATCTGATTCTTAATTCCGCAATTTCATTTGAGCCAGAAGTGAATTCTTACTCCAAATTGTTTCTCTCGTTTTGCAAAACCCCAGAATAACATTCTTGTGTACAGCTGTAATGAATACATCTCGTCCTCTTTGCAAAATTATTTACTCCCTCAAGCATTTCCCCACCACCACCACACACAGGCATATTGTTCCCTTACAGCTTGTCAGGGAAAACTTTTCAAATGATAAGAGCATCACACATCTATCTTTCATGTTTCTCCATTAAAAAAAAAATAGTTTGCATGTTATACGACAAATATACTAAAAACTGAAAAAAAAAAAAGTAGTTTGAAATTATAGGTGCACGTTATACGCTGAAAACAGTAATTAATAGTACAGTGTGGTTAGGTTCACCAACAGAGAAGCATTTCAATATTGCTGAATTGTTGATTACTTGAATTATTTACTGTAATATTTTTCCGTGAGTTATATAGACTAATTTTTCTATGTATTCAATCACTATTCAACCAGCAAGGAAGGGAAAAACAAACTGGCTGTGTTTGCCATTTCCTGCTCCACATTAAGTAGCAAATTTTAAACTCTACATAGTAGATTAAATTTCTTTGAGCGTTATTTAATGTTGTGAACATGTGGGAATATATGTTGCATTCCCTAACAAAAGGTGTTTAAAAAAAAAAAATGCATAGGATCACTAACAGAGAAGCGTTTCAAGATGACTAATTATTGTTTGACTGAATTATTCAGTAGTATATTTGACTAAGGCTGTTATAATGCATGGCATAAAATCTATTAATTTACATTTTTACATCTTTTATTCGTTTGTAAGCTATATTTACATGACTACAGCAGGTTGTCACATATGCCATCTGCCCTTAGATTGATAAAATTATTATTCATACCAACAATATCCAAGGTATCAATCCTAAATAAGAGCTCTTTTTAAAAATCATTCAGCCTTTTGAATTCCAAGTAAAAATTCTGCGACTGAACACTTGTTCCACACCAAAATAATTAATATGTTCAAAGTTTGAGAATAATTTCACAGTTTGTTTGCATCTTATAAAAAAGCATTCCAATATTACATTTATTTAAGGGGAGTTAAGTGAGAATATGTTTAACTGAATAGTGAATTCTTTAATGCTGAAGTGGAATTTTTTTTTAAACCTTCGTAATATCCAACTTACATTCAGTTAACAATTTATGACTTTAAGCAATAATCAATGTGTTTATAGTATACATTATATGCAAATTTATTTGCTTTCATTTAAAGTGAATTACTCAGCTTATTGATCTTGGTGTAAATACCCCTGCTTTTACCTCATGGAATTTTATTCACCAAACAAAGCACATAGAGATCTGTTTCCGCAAGTAACGTTTCACGTACGGAAACCAGTATAGTTCTTTGATTTTATTGACAGTTTTGTCCACTGAAAAATGTCCCATTAAGTCATGAAATTTACTGCCATGCTTTTCCTCATACTTTTGGAAATTACGTAGAGCAATTTTTCTCTCCCTTTACTGAAAACCCTCCGATATACTCTATTTGTTTTAAAGATGTAATTTGTAATTTTCTGTTTTTCTTGCTGCAACAGAAAGATATTTAACTTTCTTATAGATCTGGAGATTTTTGGTCAACTTTTTAGCTCTTACTTTGAGATTAACATTTTAAAGTGCTTAAAATTTTTCAAAGTTTTTTTATTATTTATCAATCACTGAATGCTACAGCAATTTTTGTTTTAATTTTCAGTTACTAAAAGCTTTGTTTTTTATAATTTTAACATTACAGGATGGCACACCAGATGAAAATCGACAGTTACAGTTGTCACATTTACGTAAATTCTGTATCCCTCAGGTTACACAATTATTGCAAGAACTATTACACAGCGAAAATAGATTTAAAGAAGCTTTGCAGTTGGCTGACATCATTGCATCAGAAAGGTATCAACTATACAAGGTAAGTAAAACTTTGTTGTATTTTATGATAATGCGTATAAATGTAGTACAAAGGGTATTCCTATGTTAATAACATTTTATTCAAAATCTTATTTTCTGAGAATTATGTATTTAAATAACTAAGAGTGATGACATGATAATTACAAATATTCAGCATTTATTTTCTATGGCATAAAATCTCGTTCTACTGCAGAATCCCAGCATTTGCATTGGAAATTCTTAATATTAGCGGGCCCACCAGTGACCGAGCAGTAAAGTCGCTGAACACTGGTAGTTTGGTCTGAGGTTCGAATCCCGCGAACGGGCTGGCTGCATGGGCGTTTTCGTGGTTTTCTCCATGTGTAACATGTATACACGCATGTTTCCCTTGGAAAGTCCTCCACGAAGGCATCCCTCCCCTTAGGCAGATAGCCCTCGAGGCTTTGCCATAATCACACACACACACTCTTAATATTAGCTTTAACTGTGATGCCTTCTGTTTCTGTTTATCATAAGCATATTTCACCTTGGCCTATCCTAAGAAATGAGTAATGAATTCCTTACTTTCAAAGACGCTGCTAGTTCATCAAATTATTTTATAATTATTCTATACATAGTTATTTAAAATGTGTAAAGTCTTTTTTATGCATAGGCCATGTTAATAATAAAATATGTATATAACTGTTGACTGCATTAAAACATCAAAGTCCTTTTATGGCAACATTTCTTTTCCCATGACAATAGCATCTGACAACAAAGCTTTTAGTAGGTGTTATTAATGGTAATGTCTTTCAAAATTCATTGTAATAAGTATGCGTTGTTTTGAATTTGACAATTTGTACAATAATTTGTTTGAAGCTTATATATGCTACACTGAATAATTTTTAATAGCTAAGAAAATAATCATTAACTTTTCAATACTTTAAAATTGTTAATGTATGTAATTATTGATTTAAAAGTATGAATGTTTGTTTTTCTGATTCACATAATGTAAGTTAAACCTAAACAAAATAATAGATGATTCAAAATGCTCTTATAAAAAATTCACAACATGCTGTTCTCTTTACATGAAGAGCTATCTTCTAAATAGTATCATGTTTAAAAAATCTGATACAGTTTGGCCACATCAAATAGAATTTAAGTTACTGATGTTAAACATCATACAAGTAATAAATGTCAAAAAGTATGAAATACAAAAGCTAAAGAAACATTTATGCCTAGAATACAATATTTAATAAATCTTTATGTAAAATGATTTTACACAGTTTACACATCTATAAAAGTTTTCCATGTCTTACTTTTGTGCTGAATATAATTTACATCTTCGTAATTAGATATTTCACCTTTCTAATGTTATAACTACTGTGGCATATTTCCTACTGCTTGCATGTACAACAGTTCATCTAAAAACTTTTCACCTGACATTTATAAATACTTCTGAACAAATATCAGTACTACTAGTTATGAAAGTATTAACTTGCAAGCGTGTGCTCTGGATTCAGTAGACCTGCTCGATTAAACAAACCCTTCTCAGAGCATGCCTTATAAGGTATTTCTCCCACTTCCCTAGCGTGCCTTCGTGGTGTAACGGTAACACGATGGGCTGGTATTCCAGAGGTCCGTGGTTCGATTCCCAGCAAGGGTGGTTGCATATTTTTCATCTTTCCTGCTTCCAATTAACCTAATGACTCTACAGCCTATTTTGCCTACAAGCCCTTGATGTCTGGTGTAGTACCATCCAAGGTCACCCTTTATAGGTTTCCGAAGTTTTTTTGCCAAGGCTTTGATTCAAAGTCTTGTTTTTGATCGGATCAGGATTTTTAAACCCAGTGCACCTATTTGCATTACTGCTATTACATAGTTGATTTGTGATAGAATAGAAAGTGGCAGACATGAAGCATAATTTATCCCACAAGAAAGAAATCTTGCAAAAATTGTTTGAAGATGTATCCACTGGCAAAGAATCTACTGATTTAGTTCGAATGATACTGATTCTGAAAACAAAAATGAGAATGACATAAACTGTTTTATTGGGGGGGGAGGACACAGTATCTGTCCAGTGAAAAAGCACAGAAAAACAAAAATGTGCTGTGTGAAGTTTGCAAAATTTTTGTGTTTGGAACACATGACAACACGTTATTCAGTGTACTGCTAAAATATATTCTTGTATTTTTTCTTCGTGTTTATAATCCTCATAAAGAAAATGAATAATCGATACAGAGTAAAGGTATACAGGGTTGCTAAGATACCTGAAAAACCGGAAGTCAGGAAATTCGAAAAATGACAGGGAAAAGTCGGGGTAATTAAATATTTTTGTCAAAATCTTGGAAAGTCGGGAAATTTCATATGGCGATCCTCCAAAAAAGTGATTTTTATGCCAATGTTGGAAGTAATCACTGTCTTGGTGAATTATGTATCGCGTGAGCGTCATTTGAGCAGCTGGCCGTAGAGCCAATTTTCTCACTTCCAATCAGATTAGATTGTCTTTCAGACAGGCAAAGCAAGTTTTTTTTCTAGTAACCTCGAGAATCGAGAGATTTGCATGCACATGTGCAGTGCATGTTGAACAAAAGAAAATACCTTCCCATTTTTGTATAAAGCAAAATCGGTTTAAACGGGTCATTTTGGTGTTGGCGACAGTTTTCAAAATCGTGCCAAGGTCATAACTTATATTAGGAATTTACCACAAAATCTTTTAAACCTTTTTTTTTTTTCATTTTAATAAATGCCTTATTTGTCATTTTGTAGGTTTAAAAAAAATACTAATCATTCATCTTATACAGTCGAAAGTCGTTAATTCGGACACCCATAATCCGGACCTCAAAGATAAAAACTTTCTGCGCATGCGCCGCGTTGACACATACGCACAGGCGTTTTACGCGTGCGCGTAAGACCTTGACTACTGCGCATATGCGTGTGCGCTAGTGCAGAATACGTTTTCGCCTGCGCGTTTAATGTATAACGGACGGTGTAAGCTAAAATTATCTAATTATCTATTTCAGTTAATGTTAATGATTGCATTGTTCCTTAATCTTCGAATTGGATCCCGCTTCTTATTTTTTGCAGACTGTAAGATCAATTTTATAAAAGTAAACTTGAACTTTCGATTATGTCAAATAGAATTTCCGATTCTGGAGCTACCAAAGGATCGTACAAAACGAAAGTATGTTTCGATGTCCATCAAACAAAAAGTGGAATTGCTGCAAAAAATGGATAAAGACATGAAGAATGTGACAGAGAGGTTAGTGAAAACGAAAAAATTTCGATTGACAAGTTAGTCGGTATTCTCGGCTCAGCAATTAATTAACGGAACTTGAACAGTGGAACTTTGTAACTGAACAAGAAATTATGTCTGTTTATAGAATTAAAGAGATAGTATTATCACATAAAATGAAACAACTTACATTGAAAGAAATGTTTAATAAAGTAAACAAATAAATATTAAGCTTTTTTTTTTTTTTGTAAATTTTGATACCCTTTAGATCATAATTGTTCTTTATTTCATAAATTACGGTTTCATATTTTTAATTTTATAATTTCTGCATGCCATCTTACGAGATTTAAACTGATGATCTATAATCCGGAATCGCCGAAGTCCCGACGAGTCTGGATTAATGACTTTTGACTGTATTCACTAAAATATCATTGGTAATTCAGTTTTTAATCTTTAAGTAATTAACTTAATGTTGTTTGTATCATTTAATGGGGGTTCTTCCTTCAAATTTATTTATTGTTAGTTAATAATACTTTCAAATTTCAAGCAATTTTCTCTGTCATACTCCTGAATGTATGATGACATATCATCATGAAATTTAATGCACGTATTTTTTGCTTATTTATGCTACTAAATAATATCATATTTATCAAGGTCATACTTATATTAGGATTCAGGATTAACATACCTGGATTTATTTAAAAATATCATCAAATAGATTTCTTTCTGTCATTTAGCTGCAAAATGTTTGCATAAAGACATTTTTAAATCCAGATTGTTCAGATTTTAATCTCGGTCTTCAGTGAATAACTATTATAGTTATAATAGTAATGCTTTGGGTAATAGTCAGTCTTTGGGTATAAGTCGTATGTAATAGGAAAATTTTTGTGTTTCCAAGTGGTACCATGATTAATTTGCCTCTCAGCACAGCCAATGCGCACTATGCAGATTTCTTCTTACGCAGAGACTGGAATTTTCTTAAAACAGACCTAAAAAAGTCAGGGAATTTCATTCTCCCACTTTCAGTTGATAACCCTGGGTATACTATTTTTCTCCCTACACTATGTTTTTCTATTCCTTTGAGAAATTTTATTTCATAAAAACATTTGAAGAAATTAATTTTAATGTGCATACCTTTTAAGTTTGATCCTAAAATTTATTATTGGCATAGATATAATACTTTTATCTGGAATATTTACAATTTTTCCTTCAAAAAACAGGAGTCGGGTCTTTTAAACCTAGAGCATGCACTCGTGCAACTCAATGAGAATGTGTGCTTCTGGGTTAAAGGTATTATTTGGCAAATTTTAAGCTTTGTCAAAGTTTTTCCATTCTGAGATAATAGTCAAAGAGTGAAGTGTGGTTTATAAACAGGATTTCTATCTTTAATCTTAAAATGCTAATATTTTACAAATTATTAGACTATTGAAAAGCAAAACGTAACCAGAGCAACTGTTTCAATAGTTCTGAAAACTTGAAATCTTGCAGGTAATATTTCTTGACATCAAGTATTTCTCAAACTTTTAAACCTTAGATAATTCTGATACCTATATACTTTAATTTCTTAAATGTTTTCTAGTTTATACAGCTACTCTGCGGAAGGAGGAAGAAAAAGGAGATTCCTCGAAACAAATGTAGTAATTAACAATAAACATATAAAGCTATTAACAAGTATTAATAAACGATAAATTGTTTCATAATTATATATAATTAATACAAAAGAAAAGGATACTTTAGAACTTAATACATTTTACCAAAAATGATCTTCTTATCCAAACTTTTGGGAAGGGAAGAAACACTCTTTAAGTAGTTTGAGAATAATTGGTCACTGTCAACTGATTCATGAACATCTTTTGAAAGGTAAGAGAAATCCACTTTGTGTAAAATTACAATGGAATTCTGATAATTCACCATATTTTATTGGAATAGCTATCTTTTAAATATTTCCAGCTGAAACATTTTAATTCTTTCAATCTGGTGTTAGAAAACTTAATAGGAAGACAACCTGTTTGTTTTGAAGATACAGCTTTTACATTGTAATCTGTTTCTATTATCAATTTTACAGTTAAAATTATACTGTAGCTGCATACATGCAGCATTTTAACATACATTTTATTATGCGTTTTCTGAACTGTTGTTTCTTTCATGGTTTTACCCTGCCATTAGTTCCCCCCCCCACAGTTCCATCATTGTTTCAGTCTTATCCTTCCCATCCGTGATATAGTCTGTAATGGTGATCCCCCCCCTTAATTTCTATTTTACATGTTGCCTTCTAGATTATCCTAACTTTAAATCTATCAACTTTAAATGTTTTGCTTCAACATTGGTTTGGCATAGATAACCTCACTAGGTTTTGTGCCAGAAACTGCAATACAAATAAACCAAACTTTGGGTTTGGCTACAGGAAAACACTCCAAGGACTATCTGCCTCGGGGAGGAATGCCTTCATAGAGGACTAAGTGAAACTCACTCATATATATATTACATACGGGGAACCAAAGTTTGGGAAGTGTCTGCTTTACAGCATTAAATTACAGTATCTTGATTTGATATGCACTGTGACACAGAATACACTTAGACAAATAATTTAACCACTTGCACTAAAAAGATGTGCCACACATGTCAAGATGCTTTTGTCTCAAATAGTGTACAAAAATGAAAATAACGTGGTGCGCACGTCGCCTAACAATGAGATTGTTTATTTCTCTTGTTACAGCTCTGGATTGCACTCGCAGACGCGGAGCGGCGTAAATGAGACACTTTACCGCTTGTTATATTGTAGCACAAGGCATTGCAACCGTGAAGTTTAGTGGTAGTGCAAGTGGTTAATGAAAATTTATTTGAAAAATAATTTTAGATTTTAATATGGAAATACAACCTTATGCAAAAATAATATTTAATCATATAAATAACAGAGCTTTAAGTTATCTAGAAAAATATTTTAGTTCAAAAATTTTTCATTTGTCAGTGGCAAAAATAATATAAATGCTTATTAATGTGAATATACGTAAATTTTATATTTTTTCCTTTCAGGAATTTACATCTGAAGCTCTCAAAGATTTTTTGCGTGCCACACTTTTTTCTTCTTTTGCCTTACTAAATCAAAAACTGGATCCTTTGGGCTATGAGTATCAAGAGAATTTGTAATATATTTTTGAATTTTATTTTGTACAATAATGTATTAAAAATATTTTCTAATAATTTGTTCACGTTTTTATATATCAGATGCTATTTTTGCTAATGGTTACGTATTAGAAATTCAATTTAGTCACAGGAGTTATGATATTAATTGTTCTGTTATTATTTAAAAAATGTAGTCCGAATAAGCAATTAAAACACAACTTTAGAACAATCATTTTCACTTATTTTTGACAATAACAATGACAAAGAAAAAACTGATAACCATGGTAACGCTTTGCGACTGCGCAGATAGTCTCACAGGCGATGTGCTAAGCAGCACAAATACAATTTTAAACACACCACACCTGTACTCTGTTAAGAATACCCTCAATATTAACAAGAGATCAAATATAACACAAATTAATATGTATAACACAAATTAATAAGTATAATACAAATTAATAAGTATAATACAAATAGTACTACATGAACATACACTGTACTTAAGGACATTTGTTATCCAAAATACAATATTAAAGGAGAAATATCAGGTTATTTCAAGTGAATAAATTAACTGGATTGGTCCTTTATTGTTATTAAAACAACGCATACAATTATCAACAACATTATTAATCAACAATATATGCAATGTAAATAGAAATTTTGTTAAAAATTGAATTTCCAAAAATTAAAATGGCATTAATTATTCAGGTATTAAAATATTTTATTAAAATCAATAGCACATGCAAAGTAACAAAATAATGAAACCATCTTTCTTATATTCAGTTATAAAAACCAGTAAAAACTGTTTTCACTCTTATTTTTTGTGGAATTTTAATTAACCATTCGTTATTTGGTAATCGGGTGAACTGATAGCCAGTATATTCTTCACATTTATTATCCTGAATTGATGACAATGAATTATAAAAATGTTTTCTAGTTTCTTCAATATTTCCCTTATTATTATCCTTTTGGGCTATACAAATAAAAGTACTATTTGTTACACTTATATCTTCATCACATTTCCAATTTTCAAATGTTGTTGTTTTTCCATTGGCCGAAAATTCTTGACTTAATGGGATTGTTGCTCCAAATTCCATTATATTATCATCAAGTTCAAGCGCATTAAGTTCTTCAGCCACATTGTAATGTTTATTCATTTGCACACTCTCCTTGTAGAGAAGATACTTCAAATCATCTTCAATATGCACAACAGCAGTGACTATTGATTCAGATACAACATAACCAAGTATGGTAATGGCACAGCTTTTTCCACAATAATTTTGCACCTGAAAATTAAAATTTGTTTAAAATAAAAGCCAAGGGCAATTCTTGTTACATGGATCAAACCATTTATTGTAATGTTGCAGATATAGATATCGGTATTACTACTGCTTGTGCAAGTTTAGCTAAAAGAGGAGTGTCTGATCAATGCAGAATCTTCAATGCAGCAATTCGAAATCAATGCAGAACCTTTTTTTTATTAAGCTTGCATAAAATATAACTCAAAGAAGCCCATTTAAATAAAAGCTTGATAAAACACATTATTTCTTCATTAGATCCTAAGCTCATTAGGAATTAGTTGCCATTGAATAGTCATCACCACTGAGTGACAAACCTGATTTCTGCTCTTCCATTGTAGTTTGAAATAATGCCTTCAGCATTAATACTGTGAATGCATGTGAGAAATAATGCATGTGATACTTGTTTTTCATGCTAAATTCTGTATTTTCATGTGAGTATAAAACAAAATAATAATAATCCTTTTCTAAGGAAAAAAAAAAAAGTCTCTTAAAATAGTTTTAAATGGATATTTGACAACTTATGTATATCTGTATTGTGCAAATCATTAAATATTAGAAATTCTAATAAAGTGGAATATGGTATCCAAAATAAAGATATTTCTTACTGTCTACACATTAATGATTATAACAAGAAATAATGATAAAAAAATAATGTAATACAGATAAGCGATTTTCAAAAAATGAAATGACTATTTTATTCGTAGATGAGATATTAGTTAAAAATTTCCTCCTATTAAATTCATAATTACTTTTTGTTTGATTTTCATTCTTTATTTACTTAACAGAATACCTAACATAAACTTACCAGAGCAGAAAAATAATACTTCTCCATATCAGCCTTACTTTTAGCATAACTGGCTACACAGCACAATAATCTTCTGGCTTTGTAATGGTGGAAAAGAGCATCTAATAAAAAAATATACCTATGTGTATATATATAAGAAAGATAAAAATATGTAAATATAAATCAGCAGTAGCCCCTTAATCCTTAAATTATTTATTTTCCATTTCTATTCTAAGAACAGTGTTGTATGCATATGGGTTTATAATAGATTTAATGCACCCCGTCTTAATGATAGGTTGATAAAATTTATTTTATCGAAAGAAACACTTCAGAGTTTTGGAATTTCCACAGAAATACTCATTCAGGTGTTCACAGTATCGCAGAGTATAATCAATAGATACACTTCAAACTACTAAGAACGTTAAAACACATGCAATACAAAGTGCATCTAAAAGGCGAAGCTTCTATAGATATCTCAATACAGTTGTTGAGATGTGAATTTGTTCCCAAAAAAATGAGAACAAATTCACAACAAAAAATGGGAAACAAACTCTCTCCAATCTTATACTATCTACCTGCGAGTGCGCGCACTGGGTACAAAGGACTCGTGCGATACAGGGTTCATAGCCACATTTTAGTTAAAAAAATAAGCACTTTTCAAGCACATTTTAAGAAAAAAATTAAGCACCTGTCTAATTACATTATACACAACTGCATAACCTTAAAAATTAGACTCGTAATTTAAAATACGAGAAATGCAGTATTTATTAAGAGAGAATAAGCATTACCTCAACCATGGAAAATAATTACTTTTTTTTTTTTTTTGTTTTTAATTTAAAATAATAGTTCAATTTACAGAACTAGTTTACAATAAGAGAAAAAAAAAAAAAAAAAAACTATGCAGAACTGAACTATATTACAAGATTTAATGATGAAATTTCAGTTCAAAATAGAGGAAATAAATAATAATAAGGCATATTTATTCTATTTGCTTGGAACTTAATAATAAATACAATTTATTTTTCCACTCATATTGATATTTAACTAATTTAAATCTAAATTCTGAACATTTTCTAAATTTTCATCGTATATCAGTTTTCCCTTAATAGATATTGCAAGCAAAGTAATTTAAGTAAAAAAGAGGAACATTTCTGAAATCAGAAGACAGAAATTTGCTTCATGTAGTCATCTTTTAACAGTAAAAGCTTAACTACCCGCATACTTGAAAATTGACGAATATTCGGACAGTCGAGTGTAACTTGAAAAAGAGGAGTGGAGGGGTAGACTGTAGCCACTCTTTAGATTTTTCTGCTAAATAAATGCTTTTGACATTTCAACATGTGAATCATATAAAAACAAACCAACGGAACAGAAAAATATTCTCCTTTGCAAGCACAGTAAAACTCTTTAAGTGTTCATAAACAAATCTCGGACCAAACATCAAAATTAATTATCCCTGCAAGATATCCCAAACGTTATTGCGCAATACGTGCGCCGTAATTCTTCCCTACATGATATTACGCAATCGGATTCAACAGTTGCCGGTATTGGGAGAATAAAGAACTATATAAAGGAAAAGAAAGAGACTTGCTTGGGTTGGTAGACAGCAGAACTTTTAGTCCTATTCAATCCAGGACGCCTATTCTATGATCACTGGATCTGTCTACAACTTTAGCGAACAATATTGACTCAGAAAAACCGGTATGGACAGCCATCACTACTTATCGGAGAAAGCCATTCTATGGTCCTCAGTTGGTGGGCGCGTCCATTTAACTTTACTGAAAGGGGACAAGGCTTCAAGGAGCTTTAGACCAATCGCAGTACAGACGAGTGACGAAATTTATAGCATGCGCTATCTGAAGTTCTAGGAATATTCTGTTATTATTTCACTAACTCACACGCAGCATTTGTAGTTCGAAAAAAATTGCACAAAACGGTATTATGACCAACATTATGTGTTATGTGAACAACCAGTATTATGTGTTATGTGAAGGAAAATTCCGTTTTTTAAGGGGAAATTTAACGCAGGAATTTAGAGCTAAGAAATAAAGAGTGATATGGGATACCACGAAAGCAATGGTAAATAGATAAAAGTAAATAAATTAAGCTTGCTTCAAATCCTTTTAGAAATAAGCAATTTTAATCATTTAAATTTATAATATGATTAATTTGCATTACAATCTAATAGCAAACTAAGGTTTTTTTTTTTTTTTTTTCATGCTTACATTAAAACTGTTTCTCCGCAATTTATTTTATAGTTACTATTGGAAAAATATTTTTTTAAATAAGAAATTAGAAAGAAAATATTGCTTTCTTAATATTTCTTCCCTTTTTTTATTTTTCTTTTTCTATGAAAATTATTTCTTTCAGGAAAAATAAAATTCATTCGCTATTACAGTATGGCCGATTGCTGCTGTATTCAACTATCACACACGCATCAAAGTGCTTTATTTTAAACAATTTATTCTATAATTAACATGAAAGAAAATATTTTTTCAATATAAAATATATAACCAAAATTAAACTAATCTATCCTGTATGTGCGATTAATTCGTTTTGCAATTTTTGTCACACAATTACAAATACCTTTTTTTAATATTACATTGCTGTTATTTGAATTTTTTATATATATAAGAACTGCTCAGTTTAAATATTCTTCCTTCTCAAAAGATTTTTATTTCGTGAAAATAATTAAAAGATAGTAATATTTTCACAGTGCAAGTACAAAAGTAAAAATAATCAGTGTAGGTCTCCTGTAGTTGAAGTCCTTGTCAAACCAGAGTTTCGACACATTTTAAATAGAAAACTAATAATAATCAATATCTCTTTTACAATATAAAAATGAGAATGCTATGAACAGTATTTTTTTTTTTAATTTGCAAAGAAACAATTATTTTTTAATACTATAGTAGGTTACAAAAGTATTAGTCCATGTACAAACCCTCAGGCTTACAGCATTGTTACTTTATAGCATAATACATTAATAATGCAGTATAATTCTACTAACAAGCCCACCAGCCGCCGAGCGGTAGAGTCGCTGAACGTAGGTAGTTTGGTCCGAGGTTTGAATCCCGAGAACGAGCTGCCCAGCATTTTCGTGGCTTTCCACATGTGTAATTTGTATACGAGCCAGTTTCCCTTAGAAAGTCCTCACTTAGAAACCAGTTTTAAAACGTAATAAAATTACACACAAAAATAATAATAAATAAATAAATAAATAAATCTGAAAGCCTTCAGATTTTATATTACTTCAAAAGGGCCATTTTTTAACGTTTTGCGTGTTATCTTTATTCATTAAACATCATGTTTTTCGCACTTAAACCATAAAAATCAATTCAACAGCAATATCATATAATTTAAAAAAAGCATATCTTTAGAATTTCCGATACATAGTCTCCCACGCTAGAGATGAAAATTTTTTTTTCCGTACAATGTTGCCATTGCTCGCTTTGAAATCGTTGGGTTTCTTAATCAAAAACTCATAAATGCTTTACAAAATATGAAATAGATAATAAAACAAATTCTCAGTTCCAAATTTGGGCCTCCAGATGCCTATATTAGGAGGGAGGATTACATTATTCAGAATTTCATGGCTCTAGGTACCGTTGTTTTATCACAGTGCGAGAAACATTCATACATTCTGCAGATTCCTCATTATTTAATTTCTTTAAATATAATAGAGTGCGATAATACTTGGTGGCAACGATTTGAAAAGTGAAACGCCACAAAATGGCAAAACGAAATTAACAGCCCTTAACTAAAACTTATTTTTAAAAGTATCACACTAGTAGTAGTACAGCTGCTGAAAAAGATATTATAAAGCTATTTTATAGTTTTAGCTTTCACATTGCAGAAGAAATAATGACATCAGTGATGCAGTATAGATTTATTAAAAGGCATGTATCTAAATTAAATCAGGAATTCAAAGATCTATTGCCAAATTATATTTGTGATTTATTAATAATTGTCTTTCATATTTTATATCAAACATATTCTCCTCCCTTTTCAAGGAGAAAAAGGCTTAGGTAGAAAAGCCTTTTTAGAAAAAGCATTAGAGTGTTAAGAGAAATTTTGTATAATGGATATGAGAAAGAATTGCTTCAAGAACATAGTCTTTAGATTTCACTGTGCCCTATTATTTGGTTATGAACTTTGTCATACCTGGATATATAAAACGACACATAAAAATGTAATTTGGAAATACTGGAACAAAATATTACACAATCTGTAAATTAAATGTAGAATCCAAGTTGGAAGTTTCTAAAATAAAAGTTTTTTAAATTCTGAAACATTTTAGCCTAACAGAATAAAAATATATTTTAAATCTGGTGTCTGAATTTTTTCATGAAATAATTAAAAACGTGCATAGTTCTTTAAGTGATTTTTAAAATTAAAATTAAAATGAATAACTTGTACACTTATCTTACAAATTTAATAAACAAATTTTTCATTAATAAAAAAAAATAATGTGTGTTGTGCGGTAACACTCTGTACTGAAACTATAACTAGAAGAATGAAAATCCTACTACAGTCAAAAGTCGTTAATTCGGGCTCATCGGGACTTCGGCGATTCCGCATTATCGATTTTTCCCGATTATAGATCATCAGTTTAAATCTCGTAAGATGGCATGCAGAAATTTTAAAATTAAAAATATGAAACCTTAATTTATGAAATAAAGAACAATTATGATCTAAAGGGTATCAAAATTAAAAAAAAAAAAAAAAAAGCTTAATATTTATTTGTTTACTTTATTAAACATTTCTTTTAATGTAAGTTGCTTCGTTTTATGTGATAATACTTTCTCTTTAATTCTATAAACAGACATAATTTCTTGTTCAGTTACAAAGTTCCGCTGTTCAAGTCCCGTTAATTACTGTGCCGAGAATACCGACTAACTTGTCAATCGAAATTTTTTCGTTTTCACTAACCTCTCTGTCACATTCTTCATGTCTTTACCCATTTTTTGCAGCAATTCTACTTTTTGTTCGATGAACATCGAAACATACTTTCGTTTTGTACGATCCTTTGGGAGCTCCAGAATCGGAAATTCTATTTGACATAATCGAAAGTTCAAGTTTACTTTTATAGTATTGCTCTTACAGTTTGCAAAAAATAATAAGC